ATGAACTCTACGTCAACTCATTGTGGTTGTTCAAATTAGTATGGGACAAACAACTACTCAGTGTACGTGTTATGCATGCAAAGTCTAGAATTTGTGGAAAAGAGTTCAATTTTAAGTGAAAACGATTCCTAAATATCTAATAATGATAAATCAGAATTGAATTGAATTGAAATTTGAAATGGACAGAAAAAAAGAGAATGATGCAAAATGCAGCAACTACGTGTTGATCAGAGGTAAAGTCGGATTAATTATGAAATATCATGTCGATCGCTCTTTTTCAACATTAAATTCTTCCCAACTTATTTTATAAGAAATTCATAAGACTGATTAATCATCTAATATTGAAACCTCATTTTGGTCAACATAATGCTGAAGTCGAAAAACAAAATATTGTACTATCGAACGTTTATTGTATAAATCGATCTTTTATTTAGTAATTTCTCTAGATTTATATATTTTATAAAGAAAATGTTGTGAAGATTGTTATTTGTTAGAATTGCATTCATCCGTATGTGCTGCACTCTCAATTTTGAATCTTTCAACTCTTAACACATAATTTTTCTATAGAAAGGAAGAAGGGAAAGAATTCAATTTTAGTTGAAAACGAGTTACTCCATAAATATCTAATGATGAATAGGGAACTTTGAAATAGACTGAAAAAAGGCAACGATGCAAACCTTACATTTATTACTATTATTTTACATAAATATGGAGCAGCTACGTGGCATGGTTTGACTGTTATACCATCAATGTTTTAATTAATACTACTCCCTCTGTCCACTTTTATTTGTCATGTTACGCTTTTCGAAGTCAATTTGACTAATTTTCAAAGTTAAATTAGATTACGTTAATTCGATATTTTTTTTAAAAAAATTAGATATTCAAAAACTATACGAAAAGTACTATAAGTTGCAATTTTTTGCATATCAATATGATGAAAATATACATCGTAAAATATTGGTCAAAGTTCTTATTGTTTGACTCTAAAAAAGGAAACCATGACAATTAATTGTGGACGGAGGGAGTAGCATTTTTCTTGGTTTCAATTTATTTGACATCATTAACTTGGTATAAACCATAAAGTTTGAGTAAAAAAAGTAACTTACAAAATTTGTTATCTAAAACCTTCTTTGATCATTCGTGTGACATTTTTACCACATATATATAGTAGGAGAGTTTTAAAATTAAATTATTTGTAATTATGAAAAATGACATTTTGGTTGCACCAAATTAAAAAGAAAAATGTGCAAGTAAATTGAAACATAAAGGATATTGTATAATTGGGACCAAGTTAAACATTCGTATGAATTATGTGAATCCTCTAGGCTCTACTTAAGAACAAAATACAAAATAAAATTATTTATATTAATAATATTTGTTTTTAGAACGACTAAAGAGAAAGATATTACATAAATTTAAAAGAAAAAAGTGAAATACATCAACAACTTATTAACATTAATTTATATAATAAAATAAAATATATATTTTAAGTGATGATACGAATAAAAAAGAGGTGAAGAAATATCATGTGAATTGTGAGGCAGAGACGGCAACGGAAAGTAACCAACTTTTCAGCATTTGACAATTGCCCATAAAAGCAATATCACGTGCTGTCAAAGCCAAGCAGCCGCTTCTTTCTTGACGCGTGTCTTCCATTTCACCTTCCCCTTCTCCATTATTATTACCACTTTCCTCTGTATTCATAAATTTCAATTATTGTCTAAAGCGCGATGCAGATTTAGTCGGAGTTTCAATATAGGCATTAGGTGGAAAATTTGGAAAAAAAATTCTATTATTGTTGGAAATGTGGTATTATTTTTCCTGTTTCAATTTATAAAAAAAACTATTTAACTTGAGCATATTTATGTGACATGAATGAGTCATTAAAAGAAATAAAAAAAAACTGAAGCTAAACTGTTTAATTAGAGCCAAATTTAGGAGGATAAAAAGGTATTCACTTAAATCCTTTCAATAAAAAAATTAATATTATATACATAAAATATTTTTATATATAAGAATTAAAATTGCCTCAATGATTTAGAGTTTTAAAATACATGCTGAGATTCTAAGTTTAAAACCCCATTTTTTTATTGATTAAAAAAAAATCTTATAAATTAAAATGAATGATGTATTTTTCAAGTTCTAACTTTTATACACATATAGATTATTAGAAAGTTTACAATATCAAAGCTACACACAAAAATATAATAAAAAAATATTCTCAATAAATTAGATTAATGACCTTAAAATGTTGCTACAAGTTACAATGTTTGTGAATAATCTTGCAATCAGATAATTAATTAGATCATGTTTTTTTAAAATAGAAAAAAATCAAGGTCGTGTTTTGTTTTGTATGCTTTCGTCATGCTGGTGTCTTGGCCACGTGGAAGGTGTACGTGGAAGGAGCAGGGAAGTTGGTCGGCGGGGGGCCCACATATGATTTGTTAGGTGGGCCCTGGTGAGTTTGCCGCTATCAAATTAAAGATTCGAGGGAGGGACACTGCAAGATTTCTGGAGAGGGAAAAAAAAAAACAAATAGAAAATGATAGTACCCTTTCTTTGATGTCAGATTTCAGATTTTTTTGTAAGTTGATTGATGTGATTATAAAGATGTTTTTTTCTTTTTTTTCTCAATGTTATGATATTCTTTCATGTAATTTCAATTTATCGAGGATGATAATTAGAACAAAAAATAGATAATTGAATGTATATCTTTTTCATCTCCGCAAGCTATCAATATTATTCTTGTAATTTTCTTATTCTCAGATTTCTATTACTATAGGTTATTTATGTAACCTCTATTATTAATTTTGATATTATTTCTATTTATTATGGTTGCCTTTTTTCAACTTTTTTTGAGTCGAGAATCTATTAGAATGATGAAAACAACTTTTCTATTTTCTCACGACAAGAAAAATATATGTGTAAATATCATCCTCTCCCAACCTCGCTTAGAAAATTTGTTGTTGTCTTCCTCCGGAAAAACTTTTACAAGCCTTATGAAAATTGCTATTGTCTTCCTTCGAAAAGACTTTTATAAGCCTAATTTTTTTTTTTTTATGGACTTAGTAGTAAAATCTCATTTTGTTGAGTCATTGCTCATTGGACATTTGAAACTTATTATTTTCATTTGTTAAAATTCATGTCATATAGAATCTATTAAAATCTTTGTTAAGAATCTCTTCATTTCCCAGAAAGAATGTTAAAATCCCTATTTTGTTGTATAATCACAATTGATTGTTTGGCAATTAAATTGAACTCAGAGCCAAACTCAAGATTTGAAGACAGAGGACACCATTATTTTTAAAGGAAATATTATTTCCATCTAATAATAGTTGTCCACTATACTATTTTGAGATGTCCAATGATATTTGTCTATATTATGAAATTAGTTTCTAATTTATTCTTGTTGTTAATTATTTTTCCTATTACATTTTTCAATACATTGTATTTATTATATTCAAAGGACAATATTGTAAATTTATCCTTCTATTTATAGTTTCTTAAGAAGTATGCAAAGTCAATAATGAACAAGTATTGTTGGACAGAGGGAGTAAAATTTTAAAAATAGCCCTTCATCTGAGCTCAAACTTGCAGTGTTGCGAGATAAAGTGATGATTTTAACCAATGCATTCAAATGAACTTTAATTACGAGAGTGCACAATTAGTATATATATATATATATATACACTAATTTTTTTTAAAAAATTATCAGATTAACGTACACTCTTACATGACATCATGCATGTGGGTCCGCCTCTTATTGAACTACTGGATACTCGATGTTGTTTTTGATATTATAACTCATATTTTAGAGAGAAGATGCATATAAATATAACTCTATAATAAATGGCTACAGATAACATAACAATCAAACTATTATCTAAAAGAAGCAAAAACAAAACTTATATTGGTTCTTTCCCATTCTTGGGTGAGCCCATTTATTGATGATAGCAATTTGGATAAAGATGGCAAGAAAATGGGAAAAAGAAAATAATATTTTTTCTATTTTCCATTTTCTCATGTATGTGGCGTTTGGGGAATTCTTCAGGAATTGACGTTTTTTGTTTGTAATTCCTTTTTTTTTACGTAAGTTTGTTAGAAAAGAAAAGGGTGTTTCAGTAATTGTCATTTTACTTTGTTTGCTCCATGTAGGGATGTTTAATGATTGTTGAGTAAAATTTGGATATGTTAAACTTCATTAAATTGATAAATAGGGAGCTTGCATCTTGAGAAAAGAGTCTAAAATATATTCAAACTTTAATCGAAATTGCAGTAACGATATCAAATTTTGGAAAGCACCTTTCACCCCCTACACTATTTAATAGTGTATTTTAAATGTATATATATGCTCACGTGGACATCATAAATATTGCATAATTATAAATAATAACGTGTCCACGTGGGCACATATATACCTTTTAAATACACTATTAAATAGTGCAAGAGTAAAAGATCCTCCATAAAGTTTGATATCGTAACAGGCTAACAACAATTTCGGTCAGACCCTTTTCCCTTACATCTTTAAGTTGAAATAATTTTGGTCAAGCTAGTTTTTGGTATGTTTTCTTACAGTAATTTGTTACATCTCCTTTTGATAAAAATAGTACTCCATCTGTCACAATTTACCTGACTTACTTTCATTTTTAGTCAATTAGAAAAAGAATGACATATTTTTATATTTAGTACAATTTAACTTTAAAAATGTTTATTTATCTACGAAGTAATTTCTAGGCTCTAGCCACACAAATATGAAATATTTATCACTCATTTTAGACCACAACATTCAAAAGTCTTTCTTACTTTCTTAATCTTCATTCCGCCAAATAAAACTAACTCATATAAATTAGAATAGAGAGTAACAAGTTACGATCGCTTGACAAAACTTGTAAATAATTGAACAAGTATAATAAATCAGAGTCGCGGTATTTTTTTTGGTAAAACTTTCTTAAATTAAAATAACATCCTGCGCAGGGGAAGGCCCAACTGGCCAGAACTGTAGCGTTTTCTGGGCCTTCTGGCCCAAAGTTTTATAACGAGTAGATTTTTGAATGAAGATCCAACAGCTCTTTCCCTCCTCTCACAACAGAAAAAAATAATTTCGACTAGGGTTTCCAATTGATTGGCTGATTCTTCTCATCGCTTTTTGTGATCTGCAAATTCGATAGCTGAAAGAGCTGATTCATATTCCTGAACGTAGATTTGAAGGTGACGGTTTCTCCATTTTTTTACTTCTTAAACGTACTCGGACCATTTTAGGTTAAATTTTACTTTTGTCATTACTGGGTAATACCGTTCATGGCAACCTTGTTTTACTTACGAATTTGAAGATCAGTTGGTTATGTTCCTTTCGCTGGGAGTAATTGTCAAGTAAGTGTTGAGAAGACGGATTAAGAAAATTGATGGAATTAACTGTGAATTACTGTACTGAAGAGTAATTTATGTATGCACGTACTGTAATGCTCAAGCTAGCAGTACCAAAGATGTAATGTTTCGAAATGAAAGGATTATAACTTTTGGTTTCACTGTAGCTGTTCATACTAGGGACCTATTTTCCTTTTTATGAGTTTTAATTTTGTGTCGTCAATATGGTTAACATAGTAAGTCATTGTGCTAGTAGAATATAAAAGAGAAAGCTTACATTGAACCTACTCCCCTAGAATGGCGTGGGATTTTGGTTATAATCGCAATTTTGTGAAATTGTAGCTCAAAGCTACTCTTTGTCTTCCTAACTATGTTTGTGTTTGCTGTTTTCTTTTCATTTCTTTTAAAGTGAATTGTGTCTTGATTATGCTTTACTCATCAGCTTCAGGTAGATAGTTCTCCAAAGGAAATTTGTCATCAGTAGGCTTTTTATTTGATTGCAGGAGTTGGTCTCTGGACAATCAACTTCATTATGTTAAAAACACTTAAATGGTTGTTTTACTGAATGTTTCTATTAGTTTTATGCTGTTCTCATTTCAGTTTAGTGGATGCGTCCACTTTTACATGTTGTGAATGCATTGTTCAATGTCCTTGCATTAGATTAAGGCAGTAGGCTCTCATATGATTTTTTTGAATTATTTTTAACCTAATGTAAAGGTGCTTCTAACATGAGATTTCTTCTTCCAGGTTTGTACTGCTCTTTATATTAAAACATGGAGAAAACAGACGCCGTAATTGCTGAAGAAGGAGTTCTGGATGTAAAAAATCAGACAGAGAAGTCAAGTGTTCTATCTCCTTTACCCTTGCAGAAGAGGGGGGACACTGGAGTTGCAACAGAATTTTCATCTTTGACACCAGCGAAAAAGAATGAGCAATCACACATCACCCATGAAATAGATATTGCTGAGCTTCCTGAAAAGTCCGTTCCTCCTTAAACTAGATTACAAGTTTATCCATATAATGTTTTCTAACTCTAACAGTGAGTATGTATTGATCTTCAGATACAGAAACTTGTCAGAGTTCTTTGATCGCATTCTTTGCTCGCTGAGGTTGCTCAATCTACGAAAACGGTCACCTACTTTTCAGAACGTGTCCAGTCAGGTTGAAGTACTGACAGGAAGGTAGCTGGGCGGTTTCCAACCTCATCTTCTCATTACTATTTTTTTTTGACTATCTTATCAGAATGAATTTCCTTTTATATCTGTTCTATTCTCGAAATCTCTTTCCTGCATGTGGTAATTGATGATTGGTCTTACCTCTGTAAATATTTCTTGATGGTGGCAGCTCTCTTTCTGGTTATCATTCTTGAGAAAATCAAAACAAAATGTGTCCTGAAGCTAGTAAAACATGTTATCATTTACATGAATGATATTACCTTCTTCAAGCTCTTGTACATATCTCTTCTTTTAGAATTATCCATGTTTGTATCAATGCCTTGAAGCATCGAGTTTTTTTAATTTTTTATAACAATTTGAAGCTATTAAATGTCATTTGTTTCAAAACCAGGTGAATTTTGTTTCACCAAACATCATTCTCTAATAGTGTGGTTGAAAAAAAAAAAACTTAACACTTTTTGGAAACAAATGCCACCTAAATCCGTTCATTGAACTTTCATTAGTCTAAAGAATATTTTCTGATTCATCCCTCAAATAGTAGTATTAGTGAGACACATAATATGCGTTGCTGTGGAATAGTAAATCTTTGGTGTTGCAAATAGCATCATTTACTGAAAAGAAGAGCTTGGGAGTTACTTGCTTTTAATCTGCGGAAAATTGTGATTTTCAAAGGAACTAGAGCATTATGTATATTATAGTTGTTTGTTGACTGAGCCATGTGATTGGGATGCCTGATGTTTGTTCTATTACCAAGACCAACTAGCTCACTGGTAAGCATTGGTGGGTGACGGAGATCTGTTTGGCTTGTTAGTTGTTACACAGATTTTCCCTTATATTATAAGTTGTAGGGAGTGAATTATTATGACTTTCTTTTGTGATACTTAGTCCTGCTTTTGTTGGAAACATGTGAATTTATGAATTTTATGAAACTGAGGTTTGGATAAAGTGGGTTCAAATTTGCCTAGAACTGAGGGCGTAGTGTTGATGTGGATTTTATGAGGTTGCAAATGCTATCAGTTTCAATTCATTAGTAAATCTACTGTCCACTAATTGCATCCATAAAATGTATCATACACGAGTATATTTGTATCATTATCATTCTCAGTCGATAGTTGGAACATATTTCAACAATTAAGTTTATATTCCTCTACTTCCTTTTGTCAGAAAATTCACACACAAGCATCTCGCACAGATAAAGTACATAGTTCCTGAAGCCATTCAGATAGATAAACTACTTGTACATGATGCGACGACCATGTGTATGAAGCCAGATGTTAATATTACCTTGCATTTTGATGTTGTGGAAGATCACCAAGAACACTCGAAGTTTATGACCCTCAACAGTCTTTTTGCATCCAGGCTTATGAATTTTCTCCGCAAACATGCTCAGGTAATGACCCTTAAAGTTTCGGTAGTTGACTGTTTCCGGAAGAATTCTTCAAATTAGTCTTGACACGATTAGGAATTGGATATGTGGAATCTGGTGCTTCAGTAAACAGTTGCATCTAATTGAAGAATACCCTCCTTATTTTTCTTTTTTTTCCACGTGTGCATAAACTTTTTCTCCTCTAATGCATGAAAAAATTGCTGTTTCATAACCAGATAAAGCTAATTGATCAAAAATATTTCTCACAATATCACATAACTTCAGTTGCTGATTTATTAGGTATTTTATGAGGAGCTATTGCAAAGGATATCTTTATTTGGATGGATATAAGTTGTCTTAATCCTGAACAGTGTATTATAATTCTGTGCATTAAGTTTTGATCTTGCTATAATGCTTTCTTGAAATAGTTTGCTCTTTAAATTGGTTTTTGAAGCTTAGAATGAGTGATATCACACTATTTGGAGGTCAAGACACAGATCATGCATCTTTATTTGTGCAACTAAGTTGATTCCATCATATATATACTCTGAGATTTTCATTTTCTAATGTAAGCAGGATTGTGACATCCCTGAAGCCATACTTCCTGACCCGTTTAACCAAAGATGCCTCACTAGCAATGCAGACTTGCCTTTGGATTTATCAAGTTCTCATGAATCCAAATCATTATCATCATCCCATCTCTGTCCATCCTTCAGTCCACGCTTTTCTCGGCAAACGGCTTTTGCAGAAGCAAAAATAGATCAGTTCTCGGTACCTTTGTCCACATGCTCACCTTGTGAGTCTGAGTGTACATTGAATCGGGAACTTGACTCTAAAATGACATCTCCCGAGTCATCCAAATCTTCCATCAACCTGAACAATGTTGAAGAGTGCCAACCTATACCTGGTTGTAGTTTGGTTGGAAATGAAAGAACTCCTATGAAGATTCTGCCTGAGAGTGAAATAATGCTTGAAACACCTGCTCAACCGACACCTAAGAGATCGGTTCCAATTACCGAAGACAAGCACAAGAAAATGACAGACCAAGATTCTGTTGTTCTGAATTTAACTGTCAAAAGGTCATTAGATTTTTCCACATTGGCTGGCGAAGAGATGTCTTCAGATTTGATTTCTGGAAGTCTAGAACAACATCATGACCTTAACATAGAAAGGAAGAATATGTCAAAGGAAGATCATGTTAATGCTGATATATGCCCTAATGAGGTACTATTTATTACCTGGGAAAGTTCTTAGATTTTCTTACATTTAGAAAAGCCACAAAGAATCTTCTGATATCAATGTGCGCACTCAATAGCTTACCCAGGGATTACTCGTGTTTCTCTTTAGTCATTTAGTCTTGAAATGGTGACATACACTATCTTTGACTAGTTTAAGATATTTTTTTTCTTTAATACTGTAGCCGGTTTTTGCTGTCAAGATATTTCCTTCCGCTCTCTTTTGTATAAGCAGCTAAGTAATATGCTAATTTGGGCATCTATTTCCTGGTTGGCTATTTGGTATTAGTAGAAGTGTCTTGTTGCTCATCTAAGGGTGTGATTTAATGGTCAAAACATTGAGTTAATACTTTTGTGCAAAGTAAAAGAAGGGTAAGGTTTAGTGATTTAGGTGGAATCTTTTTAAATAATAATTTTAGGCAGAATCAAGTCCCTGGTACTGGATCAATAAATTACCCCCTCCCCGCAAACAATATGTGATGGCTCAAAAAAGTCACATACAAGAACAGCCAGAGATAAGTAATAGAATATAACAAGTGAAAACACTATTGCCTTGTGACAAGAAAGTGAGAACACTATTAAATGGTGGATACATCAGTTTTCATACAATGATAATATGTTGATATTCAGGGAAGTTTCCCTGATGTTTAAGTGGTATTCTAAAGTGAAGAACCCACACATGGTTCTCTACAGAAAAAAATCCAATCATATATACAGAAGTTTTTCATTCATCTTAGACACTCTTAGACACTCGTGGTTAAATGGGATTGCCATCATTCAGGTGTATGATTGAGTTGCTTTATGTCTACTTAGCATATATTCAAAGGTGAAAAGGAAAGTGAAAATGTTGCCTCAACATTTTTCGCTTGCTTTATTGATATGTTTACCATGAAATTAATTGTGAATCTTATGGGTAGGTTCAAGAAAAGAGTTGCTCCTTTAGCAAGGAAGAGAAGATTTATCCAAGTCATTTAACTGCAGCCCGGCAGGAATCCTTCAGTTTATCTGATCTTGTTCGTCTAATTCACCGCATTTTTCAGTCTGTTGGCTGTCGATCAATGACTAAAGTGGAACTTGTTCACAAGATCATAGTGAATGACTTTGATATTGATGAGAACAGTATGGTCAAAAGCTGTATCCATTCTTTTCTAATTTTTGCAGACTCATTTTCATCTACTTTATGATAGAGTTAAATGTATTTTGTCTTCATGTAGCTGATGTGGAAGGGCAAATAGAACTTCTTGAAAGGCTAGTTCCAGATTGGCTATGTAAGAAGTCTGCTCCTACTGGAGACCTTGTGTACAGGTATCTATTGTGTAAAACATTGTACTGAATTTTGTTCTGATATTAGGAGCATGGTGTGGTAGGATTATTTTTTTCTGTTTTAGAGGGTCACAGGTTCAGTCTCCAAAGGGATTTTCTCCACAGAATCTAATTTTCCACTGATATTTAGGTGATTTCATGGGCTTTGGAGACTCTTCTCCTTTAAATTCTTTATCCGTATTATATTTTTGAAATTTGGTTTTTAGAAGGCAGGGTCAATATTGTTGCATTGATAGTTGCTTGCTCAAATGGCTTGGTACCAGCACATCTGCTGCTGTTTCCTGGCATCTGTTTTGCACAAACCTTTTAGTTATTTTCCCTGTGAAGAGAGAAACGAGAGATAAGATTTTGTTGATTGGTAGGTTAACAACGTAAAAGAGGGCTCCTTATATGGAGTTTGAGATGAAACAAGAGAAGTCCCCTACTCTTTGAGATTCCTAATCAATTGTGATATAATAATGACTTTCAACAATGACAAAGTCATTAAAAATATTCTATAAGTAATTTTAACGATTCGCTTGGAATTTTAACTCTTCTTGATTGTCATTTAAGCTATCATTAGCTTCTAGCATCTATCATTATTGTCAAGGATTGTTGAGGACCATAAACCAATAAACCAATAAACATTGGATATTGTTCACTTGAATAACTTTTTATCGTTAAAGAGTATATGGTTGCATAAACTTTTGGAGAATGTTAATTTGCATGGCTCCTTTTGGTGGAGAACATGATTGTTAATTTGCATGGCTTCTTTTGGTGGAGAACATGATTGTTTTTTTTTTCTGGGTGCAGTATCAAGAACGCTTCTGACTTGAACTCTGTCTGCGAAAGGGTTGTAGGTGTATGATCTATTTGGTTCAAGGTTTGTAACCTTGCACTTCTATTCTTATAAAAAAAAATGCATTGATAAACTCACTTACAAATAGAAGGGGGAACAAACTATCCCGACCAGCTTGCACTTCTATTCTTATAAAGAAAAAAAATTCACTTACAAATAGAAGGGGGAACAAACTATCCTGATCCTTAGATGCGCTGTGAAGACTCTATGAGTGCGCTTCTCTGCGAGCATGTGATAATTTATCCTCTGTTTCAGGGACATTCTGTTGGAGTTGCTCAAAGTGGATACAATACTTATGGTTCCTCAACCTACTTGCAGCATATACGAGAATTTGATGCATTCCTGGAGTATTAAAAGGGAGGGTGATGGTTAAGTCTAAAACATGTAGCCAGTGCATACATTTGTATTGAAATATTTTCTGAAGTAGAGTGGTGTTAATGATGACTGCAGAGCAGCTTGTTTGCATTTAAGTTGCAGTAGATTTGTAGTATGTCATTGCTCAACTAATTGATTGATAAAGCAGTTTGGTGTTACATTTCCTCCTTGTCATTCTTCCTTTTACTCCTTCCCTCCCTGAAAAATTTACATTTATTCTTTTTAACACTTCCACAAAAAATTTTAATAGGGAAGTTATTTTCGAGTCATTGTCCTCATTTTGTCAAGCAAATCTTGAATGGAAGATTGCCAAATTTCCCTGTCGATGCTAAAACTTTTATTTATTGGATATCATCACTTGAAATGTGCAGAAAAAAAAAGTGTTTTTTTTCAAAATGCATATAGAAACTACGTCTATTACAATATTTAACTATGCCCTCAATCCTCTTCTCCTCCTCCAAATTCTTCTCCTTCAAATGCTACTTCTTCATGTTCAAATTCTCCTTCTCCTTCTCCTTCATCTTCAAATTCTTCTTCTTCTTCTTCTTCCTCTTCTTCTTCTTCTTCTTCTTCTTCTTCTCTGGGAATACCTGGACAAAGTTATATACAAAATTTGAGAAGAATTAGAATTTATTTAGATTTGTTTCAAGTATAAAATCAGACCTACAAATTAGAAAACGCCACCAAAGTCAAAGGGGGAAGGCACACAATATTTCTATGGACATGTTTTTAAACATAAATTTGAAAGGAGTCGGTACCATAAGTCTCAATTAGGACATCACACGAACCCAAATACAAAATTGAACAGAAACTAACTGGTACCTTCGATGATAAATAGTTTAATGTCATTCAAATTTTCAGCAATATGCTGCTGATCATCCTGATCATCAATCAGTACATCATTGTCGGGTGTGCTATGGACAGAAGCCAACGTTGGATGGAAGCAATACATGCGAGTATTGATGCTGTGCAACACTGCAGCATTTTGGTACACATTGGTATTAGTATCATACTCGTATAGATCATAATGCCGTGTCTGGGGATTCTGTACCAGAAAAGACACTTGCTTGCTGTCGATCCAGACTGGACAGCCTTTAAAACTGCCTTGCTGATTTAAAACGAAGTTGTCCAAAGTGCGGGGAACCATCCAACATCTGTTTGCACTGTCAAAAGTAGCAATGACTATGTGCATTCTGAAAATGCATACAAGGGTAAGTAAACCTTTCGCCCTCCCTATCCATATATCCTGACCACTGAAAATTTTACCATAATCACGATCAAGAAACTCAGGACGGTCAATTAGTGTAGCCTCTTCTCTCTTAGTATCAAAAGCTAGAACACTACCGTCTTTTCTGAGCCAATACAGAGAATCGCCCCAATAAACATGTGGACCACCAACAGATAATGATACGAAAGAATTGGTCCTCAGTTGGATTTCACGCCACAAGCCAGGTTGCTCTGATGAAAGTAGGCGAAACTTGTAGAACAAGTTGGAATTTTCCTCCAACTTATTGATGGTTACCAATTTGTAGTGATCTGCCTTTGGGTACTCAACCGCTAGCCCTATGCTTTCTATATTATTTGGCGGAACATTTGGGTATGCTATCAATTGGTGCTCTCCAGTCATGGGATTGAAAACACAGTAACGCCTAACTCGTTCAAAATCAATGAGAATGAGACCATTACATGAGGCCAGAATCTCAATTTCATTGGGTAAAGTCGACACAGATTGAGTGATTGGGTTTAAGGAGATCTTGTAGAAACTATTTCGTACTGACCACCCATCATATACTGTGTAGATGAGTTGGGTAGAAGAGTCTTTATGACGTTTGAACAAAATTTGGGCAAATTCAGCATCATGAGAAATCATATCTCTAACTTCCCTTGATACAAGTTTATATTGAACAACTAACTTCAAGGGCATGCGGGAGATGATCTCCCTAAGGGCATCGAAATCACGTTTTTCATTGTTATCCATATTTTCTTCTCCTCTCTTATGTTTGTTACGTTGGAAGTTTGTGTAAATAGAGTCCTATTTATAACCAACTTCTACGGTTACTTTTACCAAAAGGCGTGAAAGGTTGTGTGTTTCATTCTTTTTCTTTTATTATGAAAGGATATGTCGTTTCAGTTTCCAACCGTTGTTTTTTGAATCCAACTTCTACGTAACTGTTACCGTGAATGAGAATATTCTGTACAACATTAGGCAGTTCACTAATCTTCAGTCTTTAATCCCTAATGTAGAAATTAAGAACTATTATCTGATGTTTCTAAACTAAATCCATCAAGTAACAAGAAATCTGATACTACCTTAGTTCTTCTGCATGATGAAAATACTACAGCGATTTCAAGTTTTACATCAAATCTAATGCTCTTACCAAATAGACAGAATGTAAGCATTCTTACCAAGTAGACAGAATTTAAACCATTTTAGATTAAATCCAATGCTTTCACTTGTAGCCTGTGCCCTCCATCTCCCCTTTGTAGGAATTTTTCTCTTATTAGTGTCAACTTACTGTAAACTTGTGTCATGGTCAATCTGTCTCTTGGGGATTCAGCTGAACATGCAACACCGATCTCAAGTATGCCAACCAAGCATTCCATCTGTTCTTTCTTGATATTGCCCCAGTATTCTTCGCCACAGGTTGCTTTACTCATCTCACCATGAAAAGCTGTTTTGTCTAGAATCTCCATAACTTTCTCTGGCAATGCTGTTTCTACAAAGTGGTGGAGGGTAGAACTTGCTTGGAACAAAGTGTCTGTGGGTCTTCTTCCAGTGAATATTTCCAATATTAGGATCCCAAAACTGTACATATCTCCTACAACGGAGACCTTACTACCCATGCCGTATTCTGCAACAAGCAAATTGATCATCTCATAAATAAACCACTATTGTTACAAGAAACCATATGGTATATTCATAGTTTTTGTTTACATATAAAAATTACCTGGAGCTGCATAGCCAATGGTTCCCAGAACTCCAAGTGAGCTAAACTGATGTAGATCCGATTCATTACTGAATTCAGGAACGAGTCTCACCAAACCAAAATCACCCAAATGAGCGGTGAGATCTTCATCAAGAAGAATGTTCTGTGGTTTTATATCACAGTGAATCATGGGTGTTTGGCACTCATGGTGAAGATAATGAAGTGCAGAGGCCACATCTATTATGATATTCATTCTCTGAAGTGTGGTCAAGCTACTCTTCTCATTCATCTCCTTTTCTGGATGTAGCCATTCGTCCAAGTTCCCTTTTGGCATGAACTGAAAGACTAAAGCTTTAAAATCATTTCCCTTGAAATCAGAACTTGAGCATACACTGATGACCTTGACAAGGTTCCGGTGCCTTATGTTTCTCAATGCTTGGCATTCTGCTAAGAAGCTTTTTGAAGCACCTTCATGCTGGAGTTTGAGTACCTTCACAGCAACGACCGTTCCATCAGAGGGAAAAGTTCCCTTATAAACAGTTCCAAAACTGCCAGAGCCAATAAGATTTTCAGAAGAAAATCCACCTGTTGCAGTGCGGAGCTCTTCATACGAAATATTGGGGTAGAAATGCGCAGATTTAGACCTATCTTGTGGTGCTGGTTGATTGTTCAAATTTCTTCTCCTACAAAGGAAAACTACTAACAAGGCCAGGATTGAAAATGAAGCAGCAAAAACAATTATCAAAATAAACTTGAGGGCAAGCACATGCTTCTTCCGTGTCTTTTGATAAATACAAGGTTGTAAATGAAGCTCTTGAATCCCACCACAAAGCTTGGAGTTTCCGCTTAATACATCTGCACTCAAATTTGAAAATATTCCGGTGACAGGAACCTCACCCTCTAGATTGTTAAAAGATAAGTTCAAGTAGTGTAGGGAAGTAAGATTTGCAATGAAGTGAGGGATTGGCCCTGATAGGTTGTTTAGGGAAAGATCCAAGGATTGGAGATCCGGCAAATCTTCTAAATTGGGAATGGTTCCTTGGAGGGAGTTTCCCTTCATATAGATCTCCCCCAAGGTCAAGCATTTTCCAAGAGTTTGTGGAATCATACCCGAAAGATTGTTGTAAGAAAAATCAAGATAAGTAAGATGATTCCAGTTACCAATATCCACTGGTAATGGACCAGTCAAAGAGTTATTAGATGCAAAAATATCTGTGAGGGATGAGAGAGCAAAAAGTTGTTGTGGTATAGTTCCTGTCAGGTTGTTTTCAGAAAATCCCAATTTTAGCAGTTGGTTACAGTTTCCCAATGTTGAAGGTATGTTACCCTCTAACCTGTTAAGTCCCAAATAAAGATAGACGAGTTCAGTGAGGTTTCCTATTGAAAAAGGGATGACCCCTGTCAAGAGATTGTTAACCAAGTTGAGAGCTCCCAAGTTTGTAAGTCTTCCAATAGAATCTGGAATACTACCTATAAAATTGTTGGAACCAATGTCGAGTAGATTCAAATTCACCAGGTTTGAGATCTCTCTTGGTATGTTTCCACCAATTCTATTTTCGAAGAAGAGTAGGCGTTGTAACTGACTAGAAAGGTTGCCTATTGAATGAGGTAATGTACCTCCAAACTGGTTGCCTCCAAAATGGAGCATTTGTAGACTGCTGCAGTTGGTAAGAGAATTTACAAAGTCAAGGTCATCATGCTTACCATATCCAAGATGGTTATTCCAAACATTGAGCCATAACAAATTCCGCAAGTTACCAAAACCCTTAGGTATATTTCCAGTGAAATTGTTTACAGGAAAATCAAGCTCTAGCAATTTTGAAGCATTGGCCAAGGAGGATGGTATGGAACCAATGAATTGACAGTTCGCCAAGTAAAGTATTTGGAGATTAGGGAAGTAGTTGCCTAACTCAGATCTGAGATTACCAGAAAAGTTGTTAAGGGAAAGTGATATTAGTTCCAGGGATGACAAATTGTACAACGGAGGAGGGAACTCCCCAGATAAGCTATTTACTGACAGTCCAAGAATCCTCAACTTGGTTAATCGAGCTAAAGAAACTGGCACTTCTCCTTCTAGATTGTTGTACGATAAATGCAGCTTCTCTAAAGATGTAAGATTTCCAATAGAACCTGGAATGATTCCTGTCAGGTTGTTATTTCTGAGGTACAAGTTCACTAACTTCGTTAAAGATCCAACTTGGTAAGGAATCTTTCCCACTAGAGTGTTGTGGTCTAGGACAAGGCTCTTGAGTTTAACACAATGTGATAGATTAGCTGGAATTTCTCCTGTTAGATAGTTAAAACTCAAATTCAAGTATTGAAGCCTTGGCAGCCTGCTGAGTTGTTGAGGAATTTTTTCATGGAAGGCATTTTCTGCAAGGTCAAGAGAATTGAGAAAAGAGAGATTTCCAAGATGATCTGAGATCGTACCTGCCAGCCTCAGCCCTTTGAGATTCAAACGGATGACTCTTACGTGTCTCAGGCCACATTTTACTCCAGTCCACTGACAGAAATGAACAGAATCATTCCAAGAGACGAAAACTCTTGATGGATCCTCGGTTATTTGGGACTTGAATCCAAGTAAGGCAAGATTATCAGTTTCATTGCTAAGAAAAGCAGCTGATGCAGCATGTTGGAGAGAAAATGACAATAGAAACACAAGAAACACAGCACGGATAGCCAGAAAGGTGTGGAAATTAAAACTCGTTGTGAAAACTTCCATTTTGGAAAATGTCAAGAAGCAAAAGACGATACCTCTCGTAAATGTTGTTTTGGTATTGGAGTGCATAGTTTTTTCTTCTTTTTTTTTGTAAATTTTAAGCCATCACCATCACAGCTTAGTGCACCAATACATACATGACATAAGAACAACGAATTTGGTGCTTGATCCACCTAATCTTTTCTTTATAATATGCATTAAGAATTATTCAGCTCTTGAAAAAGTCACAACCTTCTGGTGCAAGGTAAGGACATATCAACTAATCTTTTACTTAATCAAGAGTTGGGCTGACTAACAGTAGAACTGTTCTATTTGAGTCAACTCCCCATCTTTTCTCTGTAATTTCACTGATTCAGAATAGGATATACTGGAGTTGCTATATTTCTCATTCCGAATAAAATACCCCTTGCTTGGTCTTCCTTTCTCACATCGGTGGGGATGGATCCTTTGGTCTCCCTATATGGACTTACCCTTACAAGCTAGCTTTTGAGGTTGAGTTAGCCCAGGTGCTATATCTATCACCCCTGTCATATATTTGATGCAGCCCTTGTTGGAACAGATGTAATCGTAGTTATATTCTAATATTTTCTTGAAGATTAGGCACTTGCCACTCCTCAATTCAAAGCACAGACATTGACTCAGAGTATACATTGAATGGCTCATATTGATACTAGTTACTTGTTCTATAAAAAAGAGGACAAAGTGTGTGCATCTTTTTCATTCAAGCAGGCTATATTGAGCTGAAACATACAAAGATAATACACTAGCTAAGAGTTTCTGCACCTACTTATATATATTGGGAATTAAGAAAACTAAACAACAATCGTCCAACGAAAGAATTAGGGCTAATTAAGCATTAAATATTTTGATGCATACGATATCTCAAGTGATAACTGATGCCACCAATCATCAATTCATTCTGCTGGTTACATCCTCTCAAATCATATTCCTCGATATCAGGTTCAAGCAACATAGCGCCAATAATTTTCAGCAACATCTTGATCCTCTACTGCATGATCATGATCCTTAGCTTCATCTTTTTATGGCGTGAAATCCAACTGAGAACCAATACTTTCAGTTCTAATTTATCCTTCTGTAAACGATCAGAAGTGACGGTAGTGTTTTTGCTTTTCATACAAAGAAAAAAGAGACTGTACTAATTAAACGTCATGAGTTTATTGATCGTGGTGTGCCATCACAACCATGCAAAATTTTACAATGTAATCAAACACAATGATATAAACTCAGAACAGTCAATTAATTAGTATAGCCTCTTCTTTCTTTGTATGAAAAGCTAGAACACTACTGTCACTTATACAGAAAATTGCACCAATAAACAGGTGGGCTACTAAAGACCAAAGAACTGAAAGTATCGCCTCTCAGTTGGATTTCATGCCATAACTCGGATGGCTCCAATGAAAGTATGTTAAATTTGTAGAACAAGTTGAAATTTTCAGCCAACATATTGATGGTAACAATTTCTATTGATTTGAATTTAGGTAATCAACAATTAAACCTACAGCACCAAATTTATTTGTCGATAATAAAATATGGGAAAGTTTAGGATTATCAATTCTACCTTTAAAACACTTGCTTAGAACTTTACATTGAAATGCAACTTCAAGAGCAAGTGGGAGACGATCTCTATAACTATATAAAGTAATTCACAGAAGAGAGCAGAGATGATTTTATTAATAACAAATAGGGTATTTATACAAAAGTATGGATCCATAAGGATCATGAAAGAAATCAAAACAATTAATTAAAATAAATGACAATCTTTACAATTATGAATAAGAATCTTGAAAGAATTCAATACAATCAATCAAAATAAATGACAATCTTTACTGTTATGAATAAGGATCACGAAAGATATACCATCAATCAAAATAAATGTATCTTTTTTATGGCCCCTTAATTATTTTTCTATTCAAATAATCTCTTCAACCTTAGATCGTTAGGTGCTACGCTTTATTATTCGTCGAAATTAATTAAAGCGATAGCTTTGCCCTTCGATCAAATATTACTACTCCTACTACATAATTTTTTTTGTATAAAAATATAAAATTGGTATTCTAACTAATAATAAGGAGTAAAAACATTTCATATTAATTACTTCATCCGCCCATCTTTACTTGTCCAGTATACTAAAAGTAATTGTTAACTTTACCTGTCTAGTTTGAAAATTCATAATTTATCATTTTGTGTTTATTTTATCCTTGCTATCAAACTATTCATTTTCAATATTTAGATGACTTGTAATTTATAGGGATGGTATATCTATACTAAAACTATCCTCCTGCTGCTGCTGTTCTTGTTATTATTGTTATTCTTATTATTATTATTATTATTATTATTATTATTATTATTATTATTATTATTATTATTATTATTATTATTATTATTATTATTATTATTATTATTATTATTATTATTATTATTATTATTATTATTATTATTATTATTATTATTATTATTATTATTATTATTATTATTATTATTATTATTATTATTATTATTATTATTATTATTATTATTATTATTATTATTATTATTATTATTATTATTATTATTATTATTATTATTATTATTATTATTATTATTATTATTATTATTATTATTATTATTATTATTATTATTATTATTATTATTATTATTATTATTATTATTATTATTATTATTATTATTATTATTATTATTATTATTATTATTATTATTATTATTATTATTATTATTATTATTATTATTATTATTATTATTATTATTATTATTATTATTATTATTATTATTATTATTATTATTATTATTATTATTATTTTTTTTTATTTTTTTTAAAAATTATTATTATTATTTTTATTTTTTATTTTTATTTTTAAAGGTGCTCTAAGTTGATTTGGACAAGTAAAGTTGGACGGAAAGAGTATAGTAACCGTTAATTATTATGATAATAATAATGCTGAATCTCTTCAAATGCACATTAATGGAAAATTATGGTAAGTTATCAAACAATGGAAAAATCTTTCACCTTCTTCCATATATCATGGTGCGATGCATCTAAATAAAATTAGTGGTAACCAAAGAATGAAAAGATGCATTTGTTTCATTTTTTTTTAAAAAAACCCTTCTTCATTTAAAATAATTATCATTTAAACAAAAGAAATATATTCTTAGTAAAAGTTAACATTAAGTAGCCTTTGGATTCAAATAAAACGGATGATTACTTAGAAATATATTCTTAGTAAAAGTTAATGTTAAGTAGCCGTTGGATCCAAATAAAACGGGTGGTTACTAAGAAATATATTCTCAGTAAAAGTTAACGTTAAGTAGCTGTTGGATTCAAATAAAACGGATGGTTACTAAGAAATAAGTTAACGTTGGATTCAAATAAAATGGGTGGTTACTAGAAACGACACATCCTTTCATTTATAAAACACCTCTTCCTTCCTCTTCCAACTCTTTATTTAAACAAAATTCCAATATTGATATATTATGGAATTGAATGATGATATACTACTTGGGAAGATTATCCCCAGTTTGCCTTTGAAGTTCGTTGTTCAATGTAAACTTCTATCGAAGGATGTTAAAACTATGATTTCTCATCCTGATTTTGCCCGAACTTTGTACCAACATCATAAAGAAACTTGTACACAGCTCATTTATTCAATAAATGGGTTAGGCAGCAGAACATTCTACAAATTCTCCGTAAACCCAACAATCACTCTCACTCAATCTGTGTTACCCTATGAAATTGAGATTATGGCTTCGTGTAATGGTCTGATTCTCTTTGACTTTGAACGACCTATGCGTTTTTGTGTTTTTAATCCCGTAACTGGAGAGCACCAATTGATGCCATACCCAGATCTAGAGTCTGCATATATGTATGAAAGTAAAGGCTTTGCTGTTGATTACCCGGCTTCAGATCAATACAAAGTGGTAATCATCAGTAAGTTGGTTGAAAATTCTAACTTGTACTACAAATTTCATGTACTTTCATCAGAGAGACCTGGCCTGTGGCGTGAAATCCAACTGAGAACCAATACTTTTATATCTTTATCCTACGGTGTTCCATCTGTTTATTGGCGCAATTCTCTGTATTGGCTCAGAGATGATGGTAGTGTTCTAGCATTTGATACAAAGAGAGAAGAAGCTATACTCATTGACCGTCCTGAGTTTATTGATCATTTTGATCAAAGCTACGGTAAAATGTTGGTTGGTCAGGATAAATGGCTAGGGATGGCGCGAGGTTTTCTTACCCTTGTATGCATTTTCAGGAAGTACATAGTCATAAGCACTTATGGCAGTGCAAGCAGCCGTTGGAGGGTTTCCAACACTTTGGAAAGCTTTGTTTCTCGTCCAGACGGTGTTATTATTGGCTTTCCAGTGTGGATCGACAGCAGGCAAGTGTCGTTTATGGTAAGACATTTGCTACATAATGATCTATACGAGTATAATACTCAGATCAATAGGTACGAAAATAATGCTGTGGTGTTGGGGTCAGTTAGTTATCCCATGTATTGCTTCCATCCAACGTTAGCTGGTGCCCATTACACACCCTCCAATAATATAGAGGCTGATGATCAGGCGCATATTGCTGCAAATTTGGACAACATCAGAAGATTTATCATTGAAGGTACCAGCTAGTTTCAGTTGAATTTTGTATTTTAGTTCTTGTGATGTCCTAAATGAGACTTAAGGTCAGATATTGTGTGCCTTCTTTGTTTGACGTTTTCTAATTTCTAGGTCTGGTTTTTTACTTGAAACAAGTCTAGATCATTTCTAATTCTTCCCATTTTTTTTTTGTGTAACTTTGTCCAGGTATTTCTATCCCTGAAGAAACTTCATCATCAGAAGAGGAAGAGGAAGAAGAAGAAGAAGAAGAAGCGGGAGGAGAAGCAGCTGGAGGAGGAGGAGAAGAGATATTGTAATAAACATGGCTTTCTGCCCTTCACTATCTTCAAATTAACATGACTCAATTTGTTATTTCTGGGAGACTAAGGAGATTGAGGGCATTGGTTATATTGTAATAGACGTGGTTTCCTATA